TAACTTCGTGTCCAAGGTAACTTATGCTACTTTGAAGAAATTTACATTTTTGTGGGTTCAATGTCAACCCATATTTTCGAAAACGCTCGAAAACTAGCCTTAACTTTCTTAACGAATCGTCTATAGTTTGAGACGGTATTATTACATCATCGATGTAAGCTGCGATGTTCTCAGACTGCAAGCCGGTTAATATTGTATCCGCGATTTCCTGAAAAATTTGTGGTGAGTTCTATTACTTCAACTATTGACGAACTTTGTGCTTGAATTTTGATTTTCCGAGAGAGTTTACCGCAGTGATTTACAGTTATGTTATTATTTACTTCATTTTGATATTTTACAATTAAGGTTTTGCCTCCTGAAAAAGATACCGACTGATCTTTAAAATTTATGGTACAATTAAATGATTTCAAAAAATCAAAACCTAATATGAAGTCGTAATCTCGACTGAGACTGCCCTGAGTTATCAAGACTTTGTGTCTTAAAGGTTTGTCTTCTATTGAGAATGATAACAATGTCGTTGAACTTATTTTTATCTCCTCGCCAGATAGCGTAGATATTTTCATGAATGGGTCAGACTGAGCTGTTTCGACATGTTTAGATGAAATTTGTTGCGATGCTTGATGGCTCATTAATGAAATGCTAGCTCCGCTATCTAATAATGCCTGAAAAGTTTTATTTCCTATTGTAATTGATATGATGGGTAATGAATTTTGAGAACTAGTGTTAAAATGTGTGACCCCTGTTACTGTTTGCACCCTATCCGCTTGATTAGGGAACTCGCGGGTTTTTAACGATTCCCTTATCGGTTTAAAGGTCCTCTACCCTTTGAAGTTGACATTGGCTGATCATTGTTTCGATTTCGACCCCTGATAGCATTTGATGGAAATTCGTTTGGTTGACGTGTGTTTTCTCGTACATTATGTCGAGTGTCAAATGAATCACGCCTGTTTACAAACGATCGATTGGCATTACGAGTATTTTGATAAATGCCCATAGGGGTTTTGTTTTCGAATCGTCTTAATGTAAAACATTGTGAGGAGAAATGATTTGTTTTTCCACAATGAATACAAGGTTTGCGATTAACAACATTATGATTTCTAAATTTATTATTGTTTTTCCTTTCTGGGGGGATTTGCGTTGAAAGTTTATTTACTTGGCTACTTAATGCACTTATCATTTCGTTGGATATTTGCATGTGTTTATCTAGAACTTGCGATATTTTAAGATCTAATGTACTTTCTCGGAAATTTGGTTTTGTTTCCATAGCATAATTATGAACACATTCGGTGTTAGTAAATTGCGAATTTATTTCATCTAAAAGGGCGTTTTCAACAGCCGCTTCGAAAGTAGTAGGATTTCTAGTTAAAGCTAAACGCTTAAGAGCTGGTTCTAAGCCTTCCAAGAATTTAGCGAGTTTAGTCTGATCAACTATAGGTTTAGCATCTGCTTTTGACGCGTTTTGTAAACCAAAATAGTTGATGGTTAAGTTTGACACTCTGGTTGAAAAACTTCGAACTGATTCACCAGGGTTCTGCTTACAGTTGGAAAATTGTTGATGTCTATGACTTAGCGTAGTTTTAGTTTCAAAATAATTCTTAAATTTTTTTGCTATTGATTCAAATTTTTTTTCGTTTATAAGTTCCGGATCTTCGATAAAGAATTGAAGTGCGGGCCCTTTGAGTTTAGACTTNAAGAAATTCAACAACAATCATTTTAGCAATGGGTAACCTGCCTTTCGGCACTCACAAGATTTACTTTCAATAAATTATTCCTACAGATAAATTTTAATTGCCGTTATTAAAACATTGTCTTTTTTATTTATTTGCAGTATTCATATGGTTGTAATAATATATGACAAAAAGCAATAATAATTAAGAATTTAACCAATAAGCAACTTATATTTTCAAAAACTAAAGTCATAAAAAAATTTAATTTTTATATTTAATACCTGAGTTAGAAAAAAATTAAAAGTAAGAATAGTTTTGATTACAATTTAATCGTGGTTGTTAGCATTAAAAATTAAACTATTCATATGATATCACTCACATCGTATGAAAACGAGTATTCATAATCGTCAATAATCGTGATCACAAAAAAACAGAATTTATTCAATTTAGAAATCATATGTTGGCGACAGTTTTTCCGAGTTGTACGAATTTTAATATCATGAAGTATTGCCAAAATATTTCAGTATTTCAAAAATGCGTTGCCAAATTTCTCCAATTTAACTAATTTATATTATTTTTGGGTTAGTCACCCTTTTCGTTACTCAAAAAATATTTATCGACATTAGTAAGTTAGTAGTAAGTTAAGTAGTAAATAGTACATTAATAGTAAGTTAGTTACAATTATCGTAATATTATCGCATTCGATAATGATATATTTTAATTATAATACCGTTTTTATCGTATTCCATAAGTATTACTATTGCTAATTATCGCGATATTATTAAGCTTTTCCGTATTATTGGTAGCCGTTGATGCATAAACCAGAATCTGACATTACATATACGCATTAATGCTCCCTATAACCAGCAATTAGCAAAAAAACATAATTTCCGATGACTAGTAAATGTAATAAACCAAATCATTGTAAAAGATGCAGTAAATCGATATAGTAATTAGAAACTCTTGTAATTGATTAATTGTAATCAAAAATAGTAATTGTAACTTACTAGCGATGACAATGAGTAAAAGCTGTATAATGAGTAAAAGCTATAAACAATACTAATTTGAAGGGATTTCATTATTATCGAATCTATAATTAATCAATACTATAAATAATTACTTATTTGATAAATAAGTCTAAACTGTATATCTAATATTTGCATTATTTCTATAAGAATAAATAAATTTCACTGGAAAACATTATGCAATTTTAACGATAAAATGTAAATCATTTTTTAAGTTAATATCATGTCGCATTGAAAGATTAGCACTGCTGCTCCTTTTTAACCGTAAATACTCTTTAACTAATCCCTCGATTTATAGACCTAAATCAGATTTACTTTTTAACTAATCATACGACTTAAATCATAGACATAAGTTATTTATAGTTTCTTTTTGATGTATATATATAGCACAATAAAGACAAAAAGGATTAAAAGAAAATTAAGAAAACTATATACTGCGCATAAGTTGCAAGTATATAGATCTCATTAAATAAGATAAAAATATTGAGACAACATGAGAAATCATAAAGATTAATATAAAAAAGAAGAAATACAAAATATTTTTAGAAAACAAAGATATTTTGTAAAAAATCATTTAAATAAAGCATTAAAAAGTCGGAAATCAAAATGATGAAAAGATATAGTCACATCATCAGCTTACACGATTATATCCGCTAAAAGGAGCGCTTTCTTATATTGTATCTATATAACCAAACAAAATACATCAATACAATAATGTGAGGATCATATTTTGTAATCTGATGATAATCTTATTACGAAAATATTTCAAAATCATTTTTGAAAGATTCCGGAACGCCTAAGTTCGTATAAATTTGCTACTCGCTTTATAGATTTCGTTTTGTGTCTTGCTCTGCATTTTCTATTTTTTGATTGATGTGCCTTATTTCGTACATATTTTTTGCTTAATATGTTCAATTTTTGTTTCAATTGTTTTTAGTGCTCCTTACACTTTTGTATTGATATATTTTAATTCGGGTATATTTATACAATATTAGAAAGCACTACTTTTTGCGGATATAATCATATGGGCTGATGAAGAGATTATATATTTTCATTATTTTGTTTTCCACTTTTTTAATATTTCTTTAAAATTATTTTTTTTAAATATTTTTTCTAAAAATATTTTATATTTCTTCAAATATTTTTATTTTTAAGGATGTTCACAGAAACATCATCAAGTGAATAACATCACCAATTCGGAAACATTGTCAGTTGTAGAAGTATTATTTTACATAGAAGTATTATAGTGAGTTGTGGAAGTATTATTTACATAGAAGTCTGTTGTATAAGTATTCTTTAACTTTATACGTTTACATAAACGTTTTCTTCTAACATTTCTGAATGTTTTATCTCTTCCATAGTATCACCTTCAGAAAGTGTTTTGTTGTTTCGTGAGCTTTGTGGTTTGTCGTAGACATTTAAATCTAAGAAATATATGAATAAAAATAGTGTTAATGTATTAAATAATAGAAAATTAATCTAACATAAATTTTCTTCAACATAGTATAAAATTTTTTTGTGCATGCATTGGCTTGATTTTTTTACAAGTATTTATATATTAATCAACTATTTTCAAAATAAAAATTACACTGTTTACTGTGTTATATGATTAAGAATGGGTCAACAATGGCAAAATTGAGATTTAAGTCTAAACTTATAGTTTTTTGTTCTAATTCATAAGAACTAAAATTAAATAATTAATAATATTTAAAATTGATATATGTATTTAATTATGGATGTAAAATGTAAGTACGCTAAAAGTAAAATTACAATTAAGTAAAAGATGTGTCTCATATTAGTTCATAAAAATATTTTATTCCTCTAAATACAATAAACAGAGAACGATATTAGATTTTACAGCTTTCCATCATTTCTTACTGAGTAAAATTATCCACACTTATTTAAGTCTTTATCAAAATTTTGCACTACAAACAAAAAGTGTTTATTGTTAACATAATTAGATGATTTAATGTTTCTTTCTTTTTACATTTTGAATAATTTGAATAATTTTTGATTTTGAATAATAATAGAATTTTGTATAATTTTACAAATAATATCCCAGTAAAATTCTAACAGTAAATTTAGTATAATATAATTTCGTACATTGTAAAAGCAACATTTTATTGCCACAAAATTTCACAAATTTCCCAGCCTGTCTAGCATTAGGCAATAGCTTTCAGCATTCTATATTAGTCCCCAAAGACTGACATAACGTACATTTTTCTCGCTATAATTCAAATTTTAACTAAAATAGTCATGCAAAATACGTTGTCATTTCTTACTATGCGGTTTTCTAAATTATATTTTAACTACATTTTTATGAGGGCATATTAGAAAGCAGATGATTCTTACAGTATACCAGTGCATGTTAGAATCCTACAGTAAATCTTATTCGCACTAATAAAATGCAATTTAGCTGTTATATGATATTTTTGAATTACTTTATAAGTTTTTAAATTCAATAGTAAAAAATATTCTGTACCTGAAATATCTTGATCGTAATTTATTTTTCCATACGCCATATTTTCAAAATAAGGACTTGAACCGCAGTGACTTAGATTGTTTGGGAACTTGAACTCAATATTTTCTAAAGACGTATCTAAAAAGAAATAAACTTTTAGTAAACAGAAAAAATTTATTTAAATGTCTAATGTGATAAAATAATGCAAAAATAACACTAATAAGCAAAATTTAAAAAGTTGCTTATATTTTAGTATCTAATACTTCTTCTAAGATAGTAAAAATGAGCTGATTCAAAATATGCAAACTATTTGCGGTTTCTTAGATATACTTCTTCAACCAATAATATTTCACTAAAGCCATTTACTGTACTCATAAACGTATAATTAACTGAGAAAACAGTAAGATTAAGTCATGTCACATTCATATTGTATAGAAATACAGTACAAGATACAGTACAAATAAAACCTGTTGCCAGTTGGTACCTGTTACCAAGTTTAATAAATCACCATTGGCGTCAATAGCAATATGACTATTTTCTTACGGTTTATATACACGAAAAAGGGCCATTTCACCATTAATTTAACATTTTAATATTTTTTTATTTCTATTTGTACCTCTTACCGAAATTAGTTCATTGAAATTCTCGAAAATATTTTTTTTACAATAGTTTTTGGCGAATGATGGTAATGTGAACAGTTTTTATGATAGTAATGCGGTACTTATTTCAAAAGCCGAAAAAAATCGTCAAACTATTATTGACGCTAGTAGTGCTTAGTTAAATGTGGCATTAAATACTTCTGGTATTGTCTTTATGAATACTGTAGTAATGACAACCTATTACACCAATTCGCACGTTGTAAGTACTCGTGTGCTACTAGATTCTTTACCCCCTCTGAAATGGAGAAGTACTCTAATTAAGAGATACGTCCCACACATTCATGGCACTTAATATACAACTATTATTTTTCTATTCTGGTACAGCCATAATTTTTATGTTCCGGTGTTGCTTCATTCTATTAGATTTACTATAATCTGGGTTTAGAAAAAAGATTAACCATACATAAAAATATGATATAAAAAATATGATATAAAAATATTATATAAAAAAATATGATTTTAAAAAATATGATATAAAATATAATATGAAAGGATGATTTAAAATGTGATATTCATAATTTTCCATAATTTTCCCATAATTTAATTGATAACTTAATTATAACTTTAAGTTTATTTCATTATTGTTGAATTTAAACTAATTAAGTTAACGGAAACATGTTTTGAAAACTTAAGTATCAACATAAGCAACGCGTGGTTTTACATACGTTTTAAAATACGAATTATGTTACATCATCATACGTGATAAAATTACTAACGTTGATTTTTCTTGTGATAGGAAAAGATTTATAGGAAACGTAAGATAAATAATTCATGACAATGACTTTTAAAACTAATTTGTGATTGTTTAGTACAGCAAGTTGGCAAATCGCCTTATTCCCTTTTTATAAAATATTTGTCAAATAATATTGAAAATTCCTCCTTTTGGATGTAGCGCACGAACCGGTGGTCAGATTGAGTTTCATAGGTAGAGGCAGTTGGTCTGCCGTATCTTTGAACGTATGTACGCAAAAGTCGCGGACCGGACTGTGTAGGGGTCAGGGAACTAACCTTGCATTAGAAAGGTTCTGGGATCGAATTCTGGGCACTGCATGGATGCTCTTTCATTCTCAGTACTATCTGTCTTTACTGTGAGAGCAACGTTGGTTTACTTAATACGGTGACTCTGACAGAGTGGCCAACAAATCTGCAATTCAGATGCCTGTATTGAAGGAAGGTCAATCTCCAGGTGGACATTGGAACTAATATATACACGAAAATTTGTTGTAGATTAGCTCAGAATTGGAGAATTGCATTAGGAACATACTGCCGTGCAACTCAACGTAACCGACAAAAAATTCGAATTTAAGATTTTTATGAATTTGGCATCTTTTTCTGATAAGTTTTTTATAGCAATAAAAAGTTTTTCAAAAATAAATTTTGTTCTATCAGTTTTTTGAAACTCTATTTTAACATTCATTAGCAATAGCATAGCACTTTTCCCGAAATCTGTCGTGAAGCACTTACGTTGTTTTTCCAATTGCTCAGCAGGACACATATTCATACACATAAAAATTATGCTTTATTTATCTACATATATATGTTAGATTAACATAAGTGAAAGTCACCAAATTAGCATTTTTAAAGTTACCTGAAACCACGTGTTTATTTTGTTTATAGTTATGTCTTCAAAGGGTAAAATGAAATACTCTAAAATCAACTGTAAATAAAATTAAAAAAATAAGGTTTTTGCTGAAAAGCAAAAATGATGGAGAAATAGTACGAATTTGTTTAAAAGAATCTTATAATCACCGTACTATTATTGACGCCAATGATGCTTAATTAATTTTGGTAATATATTTTAATTGAAAACTATTTATTGAACTATTTATTGAAGTCAACCGTAAATAATCGACAAACTAACGTTGACGCCAATATGATGTTTAATACATAATAATTATAGACTCTTATTAAAACCAAAAAAAAATTAGCCATTCACTAAAAAGCAATATTAATGACAAAATAATACTAAATCGTTAAACGAAAAAATAGATAGAGTATTATTGATGCTTAATTAATTCTAGTAATAGGTACTAATTGAAACAAAAAAAGGTAGGTACTGAAAAATGAAAATTTAGGTAAAAATAATACTGATTCATTTAGGAAAAAACGTAAGAAATCATCAAAGTATTATTGACGTCAACGATGATTAATTTTAAAACTAGACAGAGTACTAAAATTATCGTAATTGATCTAGTTTTAATAGGTACTAATATAGGTAAAAAGTAGATATTATATACTTGGTACCAATTAAAAGTGAAACAGTGCGCAGTTTGAATTTAGATACTACTGGCAGAAGTTTTTATGACCTTTTTGAAACGGACAAGAACAGCAGGAAACCGCTTTGTGATAAATTTTGAATATTATGAGTTAGCTGGGACAAAAGCAACGAGCCCAATTATTCTGAATGCAATTAATCTTTATACTCACGGGATAAATTACAGAAAACGTGATTTTTCTAAATCTAACAACGTAAGCCCACTATGAATGGCAAAATATAGCTTTAAATAGATTTTTTTTTAAATTATCTTAGATTTAATTAATGCGTTGGTATATTTAAATTAAATTTATATTGAACATAAATTAAATATATATCCAGTATGCCTTTCAGTTTTGGGCATAATTTTGTTGCGTTGTTCAATACAAAGTTATTGGTTATTTTCCTTTTCTTTTCATACCTTACGAAGAATGGGTCACAATAATCTTATAATGCTATTACTGTACTTTATCTTATATCTAAGAACATGAAATTTTCTTTTGCAGTTTTTTTTCTTTTACAGTTAATTTTATGCAAACAATATTTTTCAACAATTTTCTGCAATTTCAAATACTTAAGCATTTTTAAACTTCCGGATGGTCTTGGCATATACGAGATAATTGAAGCATAATTGTGTTTTTGAAACTTGCTAAAACCCTTACTTTTCTTACTTGCTGCATTTCCATTAGGTAAATTTGAGAGATTATCCTTATTGACATCAGGGATTTGATATAAGTTTTCACAACAGCTTTCGGCACACTCTCCATTCTCTTCATTTTGCCTCAGATTTGAACAATCAGATATTCCTATTTAGAAATTAAATTTTTATACGAACCCAATAACTCAATAATTACACAATAGCTCAACAATAACAGTATGTTAATCAAAATTCTAGATATTTATATTGGGCGGCAACTGTCAAACAATGCATTTAACTAGTACAACAATAGTGAGAATGTAGTAGTACGACATTATTTGCATCGCACTGTTACTGCAGAACATACTATTGGTGACGATTAAGGAAACGTACCTAAGGATGAACCGGAGACATATTCCTATTTAGAAATTAAATTTTTATGCAAACCCAACAACTCAATAATTACACAATAGCTCAAAAATAACAGTATGTTAATCAAAATTCTAGATATTTATATTGGGCAGCAACTGTTAAAAAATGCATTTAACTAGGACGACAATAGTGAGAATGTAGTAGTATTACATTATTTGCATCGCACTATAACTGCAGAACATACTATTGGCGACGATCAAGGAAACTTATCTAAGGATGATCCGGAGACATATCATCTCAATTTTGATCCTCTGTTTTGGTGGCCCGATGACCGGAGTGTGAAGCCAAGCTTACGATGAAACAGGACCGGTACCGAGCATCCTGTGTCCCTTCGCAGGCTGCCCAAAATGGTCACCGTCTCTTTCACAGACAGTAGCCAGTCATGCTTGATTTCGGGAATATATGGGGAATCGTGTCTTTACGATCAATTCAATGAGGGACTAACAGTGGAAATGTTTATTAGACATCTGTTTAACATGCTTTGGGCAAATTATGAGAAAATAATTGCATATAAAAATAATGTGGAATGTTATGTTGAATTCTTTACGTAATACATAAGGAATTGTTCGATCTATAACTCATTATATTGCTCATTAATTGTAAATAATTTAACCTAAACAATTTTAATGAAATAAAACTATCACAAGAATTAATTATTTAAAAAATTTTAAGAATTCAGTTTATATTACATGCTTAAACAGATCTTTAGACCTGATTGTTGTTTCCTAAAATTCTTTTCATAAATTTCTTTTTCCTACACTGATAAAAAAATTGGTCAAAAATACCAAAATATGGTAAAATTTACCTAGTTTCTTGCTCTATGGGAACACCAAAAAGCTCGGTAATTTCTGTCGAAGTGGTTTGGTCATAATTATGGTAATATTAATAATAAAATTTAAATTTATCATATGTGATAAAATTTGGTAATTGTGGTAACATTTGGTAATTTCATCATGATACCTTAGAGAATGGCATTAAAACCATTTATACAGTTAAATTTAATTTCAGTTCTCTATTTTTTATTAAATGTGTAGTAATAAAAACTATAATTTTGAAAATCAGAATTTCCGATAACCATACGGAATTTACCAAAATTATCAAATGCGTTATTTATGTAGCGTATATTTTGGTTTTATTAACCAAAATTATATTTTTTGAATGAATGTAATTACCATGCAGTACAATAGTTCGACCAGAATTTTTTTCCCGTATAAAAACAAGCCATAAAGGGGAAAATAACATTTTGCATTGCAGCTTGCTTATATCACTTTTATTATTTTCGAAGTAGGTATTATTCGAAGGGAGAAAATATGATGAAAATCAAAAAGGAACTGTTTTTGAGCAATATTTGCTATGAAGTTGAGAACAACTTGAAATATACATAAAATAATTTCCCTTTTACTAATAGACCCAGATGAAGTGAGATAATAACTGACTTTGCTACAGTTGATGCTGTTAGTTAATTATTACTAAAATTCAAATTTAAAATTCAATACAATCAAATTTTACCATCAATTTCGTTTACAAATAAACCAATGAACTTATTAAATAAGGAATACATGCTTTATTTATTTCATGTTACAATTAGTATTGAACAAAAAAAAACATTTTTTTGCAAAAAAGCTTTACTTATTTACACCGATGGACAACATCATTTATGATTACTTACCAGGACTTTGTCTAGAAAGCTGTTTTCTGGAAAAAAAAAGGAAAAATATAAATATAAAATTATAGAAGACATATTTCCTTAATTCAGTATAGAGATTCAGAATAGATCTCAAACGTATATCTACAATAATATCTACATTTTTAACAAAAGTCTAAATTAAAATAATTTTTTTTTCAAAAATAATTGTAGTAATACAAGAACTGTTATTATTATTATTTGGAATTTATTTAATGATAAATAGAGCAAAAAAAAAGTTCATATCTAGAATCTTGAACAAAAAATCCGTCAAAAACTCTGTGTTCTAGTAAAATTAAGTGCTCAGGTGCATCATTTTCTTAGAAAATTACTATCTAAATATTTATTTAAGAAACACTTCAACAAAATCTCTTAAATTAAGTAATAAAATCATGACGAGGTTTATAATTTTCAATCTCCATTGCACCACAGAAAAAAGACAAGAGAAAATGATTTTATCACTGAAAATGAATTTATCACTGAACGATAAATACAGAGCGAAAATAAAACAAGGAATCACCCGGAATAGTGTTTAATCTAATGATCGGATCTTCACTTGCTTGGGATTTAATCTTAATGGTTCGAAACTAGGGGTGATCTCAGAAATGCTAATTAGTACAAATAATATTTTAAGTTTCGGAATCTGACGTACGATTTTTTTCTGAATATTTTTTTCCGTCTAATGAACAGATCTTAAACTCGACACTTTTAATTAAGATTATTAATTGATAACTAAAGATAAGTGATAAGTGATTATTAAGTGATAATAAAGATAATGATTAAAGAAAGTTTAAGCTTTGGGCTTTGTCATGTCACGCTGCTTTTGTTAACTGATACAGCATTGCGACAGACTATGTCCGTCTCTTAAATTAGCGCAAAATCAACTCGAATAGAAATTTTCCTATCCTTGAAATTCACTGATTCATTTTTCACTCATTTTTTTAAAAAAACTAAACGATAAGCGTGTGGTTTTTCTACAGTCAAATGGTATTTAATAACTATCTTGCGAATTACTTAAACTCGAATCTTTTAATTGTGATTATAAAGTGATAATTAAAGGTTTAGTTTATGCTTTGAGCATTAGTGCAAATTTCACGTTGCTTTCGTTAACTGATACAGCATTATGAACAGACTATGTCCGTCTCTTAAATTAGCGCAAAATAAACTCGAATAGAAATTTTCCTGTCCTTGAAATTCACTGATTCATTTTTCACTCATTTTTAAAAAAAAAAAACTAAACGATAAGCGTGTGGTTTTTCTACAGCCAAATGGTATTTAATAATTATAGTAAGAATTACTTAAACTGGAAACTTTTAATTGAGATTATAATGTGATGATTAAAGAATTAATGACTAAAACATGTTTATACTTTGGGCTTTAGTGTAAATTTCACATTAATTTCGTTAACTGTTACAGCATTACGAACAGACTATGTCCGCCTCTTAAATTAGCGCAAAATCAATTAGAATAGAAATTTTCCTATCCTTGAAATTCACTGAAATTTTTGTGAATGGACTTGATCCAGTCATTGTCGATAGAGAAAAGTAGGCGATGCTTAAAAATACTAATTTTTTCTTTGGAAGTCTACCGCTTTTAGTTCGTTATCTGAAAGAGGGTGCGACATTGAATCTGTTAATAGTGAAAAACTAAATTAGAAATACAATAAAATACTTACAGTTGAATATTTTCAGATCTTTTTCTTTTTCTTTTACAAAGCAAACATCCAAGTATTATGAGTAACATGCTCAGAAAAAACCCTCCACATGAAATACTCAAAATATGAGCTAATCGATTATTGTCTTGGAAGAAACCTACATAAAGGAATTCCCATAATAATTCTTATGTAAATTTCAAATTTATATTTTAATTATGCTATTATAACATTAAATGTGCTGTATTTTTCAATAGTTCTGCTCCCAAATATAAGTTTACTGGAAAATATTAAAAATAACAGAAGGGCCAAAATGCAAATTTATGGCCAATTTACACCGAGCATTTTCACCACTGTAAATATCTAGTTTATACTTAGGAACCAATATAAGTGTTATATTTTTAACATTATTATTGGATAGTAGATTTATTGCACTATTACTAGCTAATATATACTACACGACTAATAGCTGAAAGTTTTCCTCATCCTATTTATTTATAAATAATTTTTGTGCTGTCATTGAATAGATTTCTTTTTATTTTGAAACAATTGATAAAAACTGGAATAGTTATAAGAGATAAAACACGTTCGATTGCGTAGCATCCTGTCCAATTATTTTTTTTTGCCATTCTATTTACCATTTCTATAAACTATAGACTTACCTTTCTCTGACGTTTAAAAAATGCTATGGTAAACTTTTAAAAATTAAATATTTCTTATAAATTTGATATTCGATTTTTCATAGCCTATATTCAATTTATTCACAAATTAAAAACGCTTTGACATTTAGTATTTAAAAGACCGAAAAGAATTGAAATCAGAAATTTATTTTAAATTTAAAAAATTAAATGAAAGCAACTTAAGAATAATTCTATTCTTTATTTATTAGAAAATAATGAATTAAAGTATGAAGTTGAAATATTCAATAGTTGAGATAAAAATCAAATGAAATGCTAGGAGGGCAACGATTATTCTTTCAAACGGTTTTCAAAAGAGCTTAACTTCATGAGGATTACATTACATTTTATTTTCTTAAAAAAAGGTTCATTTTAATTCAATCAGAAAAACCATTGGTTTTTTGGAGCCTTACTAAACTCTTGGTAAAAATGATAAGAATTCTAGTTGTCCAAATTTTCAAAAGTTCTTTTTTCACTGAGTTTTTTTTATGTTTCTGCATCTAACATGATGTGAGATTTCACTCATGCGATTTTTGGTTTTAATTGTATTAATAAATCATTGATGAACCGATTTACTTGGTAAATTCGTGGATCTTAATGTTCAACTCTACTGAATTCTATTTTTTATAAGTTTGAAGCAGTGGTTTGAAGCATAAGTTATAAGCAGTGAAACAAAATAGCCTTCTGAAGGACTTTATTAGCAAAATTTATCTGCTTTTCCAAGAAGAAGAGGAAACCTATGAAAACGTCTTAGTGGGAGCTGAATAACCCCTAATCCATTTACCACTTGCGATATCCTTCATCAGTTCCATAGTTTATGTAAGCTAACATTACATATTCTGCGCTCTCTTGTTTACGATAAATGATTTCTTTATGGGTCGGAATAATTATAAATTAGGTATTGAATTATGTATGAATGCAATAATGTATTGAAGTATTTTAGGATTATTTGTTAGAAAAATAAATAAATATAAAAGTCTTTTAATTCATTTTTGGACCAACTAGAAATAGACTTACCTTGAACAGGCGTTTCTATGCACCCTAATTGAGGATTACAGAGCTGAGCAGAGGAGCATTTGCATATTTTCTTGCAACTATTGCCATATAATCCTTCAGGGCAAGCTATAAATGAGTGAAAAATAAACTTTTAGTATAATTGATAGGCTGTTTTCATAAAAATAATAATCATTTTTCGTAGTAATAAGAAGGTAAGAATTCAAAATAAAAATAAGTTATAATTCCATAGGTATTTTATTATTCGTTTTTTAATATTTGAAAATCTAAAAATTCATGCAATAAATAACGATTGTTGCTTCTGATTGCAACTTTCGCAACAAGTTTATAAACAAAGTTTCAAATTAGTACAGCTTTTCCCGAATTTAAAACTTTTGTTCCTACCAAATAGAATAAATTAAGAGAGAAAAATGTTAAGACTTTAAAAAGTTAAAAATGTTAATAACTGAAACATTTATGTATTTTATTCTTCATTTAAGACATATGTAACTATAGAGTTGCATGCACAAAATAACGATAGTTGCTCTACGATTGTCTCTTTCTCAATAAATTTATAAACTGAACTTAAAATTATTATTGCTTTTCTCGAAATAATTTTTTTATTACTGCCAAGGAAAACAAATTAAATGTGTAAAAAATTTTTTTTTCAAATTACTGAACAAAGAAATTCGGACCATTTATTGTATTTTTGCACATATTTTAAAGTTCATTTTGTATTTTTCAGTCCTTTTTTCTAATTGTTGTAATTAAAACCTTTATAAAATGTTTCCAATATATATTAGAGTAACTTCCAAGCATACATGTTCACACTAATTTATTCTCAAAATTATTCCATTAGATTTACAAAATAAAAAGAAATGCATTTTATTCCTCTCAAAAAATGAGTTCAGAAGATACGAAGCGTAATAAAACAGGATTTATGAATTTTTATATTATATACTCAAAACTAAATGGCTTTAAATCATTTAACTATAGAATTCATAAGCAATGCTAAAGAAATATATTATTTAGAAATATGAAACTACTCCCCGAATTCCACAAAAAATAATTGGCAATCTTTTCTTTTAAACTTGAAATCTTGACTATACTAATAGTATTGACCTTATTTCATAAATGCCAAAATATTTTGTTTAAAAATACAAATTTGTTTCAATGTTTAATTAGTTTTGGTTATTAATAAAATTTTTTTTGATTAACTAAAGACTTAAAATGGTTACAATTTTCACAAAGAATAATAAATGTACACGTGTAAGTTTTCCTTAGTCTTTCTTTTTCATTTTTTCTTCATTAAGTGCAAATAGGTACTACTTTTAGATCACCAAATTTTACATACACTTTGAATATTTAAATTTATAGAAAAACGTGATAAATTTCCAAAATTATACATTTTACTTTTTTAATGCATTAATTTTTTCAAAAAGTTTATAATATTCCATATGGCTCCATTTCGCGATATTTCGGAATGAACAATTTCACTTTAGAAAAATTATGTAAAAACTTGTGCAAAACATATTTATTTATTCAATTATTTTTTCTTTTCTTTTTCAATTCAAATAAATCAAAAAAAATGCCATAAAATAACCAACCATTCAACTATACATGCAACAAACAATTCGTACACTACATAATGTAAATATGTGGCGTAACTACCACTATAAATATTAAGTACCAAATCACTAGTATATAATACATGTTAACTTGATTCTATCATAAGGTACCTTTTGATAGATGAAGGTTGACATGGTCTATAATAAAATCTCCCTACAAATACACCTAAAGTGTAAATAATTTGTGTGGAGCTACTGGCTGATACAGTATAAATAGAACATACTGTTAACAACTGCTGAGTAACATTTGTAAATGGTTTCAAAAGAAAACCACTGTAGACAAATTTTTGCTTAAAGATTTTTATCACCTTTTTGGCATTGGGATCCAATCCATCCTGGTTTGCATTTGCAAATTCCTGAGTGAGAATCACAGCTTCCGTCATTATAACAAAGACATTGGGATGCGCAGTTAAGACCATACGTTCCATTTGAACAAGCTGTTTCGAAAAAAATTCAATAATGAAGTGAGAGTTTTCTATTTTTAAAACGTAAAATTAATTAAAATTTTAAATTGTAAGTAAAAGTTCGAAAAAAATGCATTTAAAGAAAATTATCTTTAAATTATCATTGTCGATTTTTTTTAAATATATATATAATCGCGTTGAACAGTCGACAAAATTTCAAGTTTGTTCAACTCCGCAACCTTGTAATTTTGAATCCAATCCAGAAGACAAGAGAAATCCTGGAATAAATTTGCCTTCGTGGTGGACTTTTTGATGGAACTGATCCGCATTTGTATTGCATGGAGAAGAAAACCGGAAAAAAGACTAGACATTAAGGGGACTCTAGCTCATTATCCATCAACCATTAAAAATATTTTAACGTCAGCACTGTGGTCAGTACGTGCTAAGTTCGAAATTCGTATAGACGAGCCTTAGCTGGGATTCGAACTTGTTTCACCCCAATTGAAATTGAGCTCTATCCCTTGCGCCAATACAACTCACTATTGTCAGTTATCGTTATAATTCCAAAATGTTGAAGCGTTCTAAAGTCATGTGAGTTTTGAAAACTTTTTCTATTGATACAGGCGATATAATTGCAAATTTATAGGAAGTCCTTTTGATTTTACTTTGCTTTCTATTTCTTGTATGTTTCACTCTCTTCAAGTTCCATTCAATATCATGAAATACTTGAGGTTAAAGATTTAAAGTAAGCTGAAAACAAATCAATATTTGACTTTTTTCACCGTAGCAAATTGACGTTACTAATTTAGCTGTATATACCCGATTTGTATAAAAGTCAAAAATAGAATACGAGATAACAAAAAAATTGATTAGGAAATGCTATGTTTAAACTTTTAAAACTCCGTGTTATGTAATAGTTACTCGTATTAGTCATTATGCTACGTTCTAAGAATAAAAACCATAGTAATTTTTAAATAAAAAGTAGCATTTGTTAAAATAGCAACATCCTAAGGTTTTAAGTTAAATATTAATAATTTTTATTTACCAAATTAAAGCTAAAAAGAAGTACTGAGTAATGCTTATATATTTAATAAGAAAATTCTATACAATAAGAAAGTTATTCCAAGTTTCAAGGTACATTTACTCAAATGGAAACAGAATTAAAAACTCACTCAAAGAACAATCTGAACCTGTTCTTCCAGACGGGCAGATGCAATTACCAAAAATCGGATTGCAATCACCTCCCAAATGACAGCTGCATGTATTTTGACAACTCTTTCCCCATGTTCCTCTTGGGCAAACTAAATTTTTTAAAAAAATGAATGACATATTTAAATAAATATACTTAAAAAAAATTTATTGCAGAAATTAGAAATTTAAAAAATAATTATGAACCAAAATTATTCACTGTTTTTAAAAATTACTTGCTCTGTCCAAAAAACTATATCCAGATTTTTTTCTTCTTTAAGAAAATTTATTACATTGTTAACAAAAAGTATTCACTATGTTCATATACTAATTACTTAATACCCTATGTGACTCCATAAAGTGATGGTTATCGAAAATCTATTGGCTTTCAAAAACATTCATAAAAAATAAATTATTTACTATATTAGCAAAAATTATATACCATACCAGCAAAAGATATTTACTTTGTTCACAAAAAGGTCCAGTGTATCCAGAAGGACAGTCACACCACCCAGTTATATGATGACAGGAAACATTCCCGTATGGACAATCGGGACATAATCTATCACAACCATCACCATATGCCCCATATGCACATTCTATGTAAAGAAATTAAAGCTCAAATCTTAAATTGTTTAAACAAAATTATGGCAAATCATAAATATTGTTCACACACTCAACAAAGTTCTGTGATATCTAAAACACCCAACTGAAATTAATAACAGAAATCTTAGGATATTTATGTTAAAAATTTAACGAAACAAAGTAAAAGCAATGCAGAAACGGATAAAAACGGCACAATTTAATCCACAATTTAAAATAAAAATTATTTCCAAAATAAAAATTGTACTCCAAAATTAAAAAAATTTTCAGAAAAATAATATGAACTGTAAATAATGGAAATATGTTTCTTAGAACAAAGTGTGATTTACTTTTTTGTGATGCAGTAAAGTAAAATATCAACAAACCTTTTAAAACAAAATCAAAAGTATTTATCTCTATTTTGGTGAATATAAGGAGAGCCAGATTTCCAACTCTACCTAATGACTGAGGTGTTCTTACTTAAACACAAAGAAGCAGAAATCGTTTAAAAAAACGAAGCCTTAATTCTATTAACAATGATTTTGTCTTATTTTATAACCAACATTGAATATTCAATCCATGTTTGAGTTTAATACTACCGATATTCAACTCCGTAAGCCTTGTAATTTTGAACTCAATCCAGAAGACAAGGGAACTTCTGGATCAAGTATTATAAGAAATTTGCCTCCGTGGAGGTCTTTTTGATGTAACTAACTCGCATCTACGTTACATGGAGAAAGATCCTCCACTGACTCCAACAGTTAGCCATGGCAAGGGGATTCTAACCCATGATCATCTACCACTGATGATATTTTGCGTCAACACTGTGGTCGGTGTGAGAAGGGAACAGAATTCGAAAAAGACATTGAAAATGAAACAGTTAAGAAGCTTCACCCATCACGCCTTGTCTACTATTCAGCTGCCACGAGAGCTTCTCCCTATTGAAAGTCAGTAGTTGTTTATTGTGAAAAATAAGAGTAAAACCTCTTCTGGTGGGAGAGAATTGAAAGAACATACCTACATCAAAGTGAAACGAATAAACTATTGAACTAAACGACTATTGAAGTGATACTTCCTCGTAACCACAGTAACCACCAGCATGCAAAACTGATGTCTGGGGAGCTCTTGTGTTAGCCGCACAGTATTCTTAATGAAAATAAACTAAATTTTTCTATCAAAATAAGAATATATATTTTTATGATAAAATCATTAATGACATTTTTTTCTTACTTTCAGAACAATTATAACCAGTCCACCCGCTTTCGCACAAGCATTTTCCTGTTTCATGATGACAACTTATATTCTCTTCACAAGGACAAGTGTTGTTACAATTCTCACCCCACGTAGGATGATCACATTGCTCATCACAGAGAGCTCCTAAAAAACTTCTTTTGTTATAAAATTTTTGTTTACAAAAAATGAAGTTCTTTAATTTAAAAATTTATATATTTGATGCTGAATGCACAATGCACATGTGTGAAAAATAAGCTTTTAATAAAATGTTATATAAAGTTATCATTGTTTTAATAGTAACAGTTAAACTAAAGCATATGTGTGTGCTCATAAATAAGTTGATAAAAAGCTTTTCTTTTCGGTTTTTAAGAATTTTTTAAGCTTTTTGTCTTGTTGAAAATAGCGCAAATAAAAAATTTAGAAGATTTTTCGTAACGTTATTAGGCTCTGCAATTTTTCGGAGAAGTTATATACTAATACAAAACTAATATAGTAAAAACATTTTTTTTCTTTTTATAGAAATAAAATTATTAAAAACTTAGTACTAAAAATATTCTTATTAGAAACAGCTAAATTAATAAGGGCTCATGCAGAACAATAACATTAGGAGAATATTTTAAACAGTGAGAGTATATACTTCTTTTTATAATTAGTAATGATTCCAGCATCAAATGAAAATTTAGCATTAGATTTAATTTTTTCTTATTAATTAACGTAATCTAAATTATCAATGTTAATCTCAATATTTATTTAGTATTTTAGTAAATAGTTACTAAAAATTCAGATATAAAAAAATTCTCTTTTTGGAAATAATTAATTTAAGGGCTAATGTAAAACAAGGAATATGAAACAATTCGAGTAAAACAATGATTTTTACACAATTAAATATTCCTTACTTTTCTATGATTAATTTCCATTTTTAAAATCAAATAAAAATTTAGTTATTCAATTAAAGTAACTAAATTTTTATTATTAATTAATACAGTTTCAATGACTGATGTCAAAAAATGTAGTAAGAACAATATCTCCTATAGTATGAATTTCAATATGTACTTAGTAAAAAGCCATGAAGACGCATGATAATTAATTTATCTGTAAGTAATCGTTTTTACTCATTTACAGTTGCAATCAAGTAAAATAGAGGCATCGGTTCTTCTTTCATATAGAGAGTGCCATGTGGTGTTTTCCATATCATTTAAAGTGAATAGCTAAATTATTCAATTCTAAGAAAATTTAAAAATAAATAAATAAGCACCTTTCGGCAGGGTTGCTTTCGATTTTGAGAACTGTCCAATTAAAAAAAAAGACGAATTGACAACAACAAAAAATTGTCGAGATCTCCTACATTCAAGATTAAATTACAAAATTTTAAAAATAGGCTCGATCGTTACAAACCTTTCCATCCAGGTATGCAGTAACAAGCTCCACTTATAAAATGACAATTGACAGTTGTATTTTTAGAGCAAAGGCAAGCATGTGCACAATTTAATCCATAAAAGCCTTCCTATGGTTCAAATAAATGAAAAAAAAGTAATTTAAAAATTAAAAATAGTTGTTTTGAACAAAAATATCACAATGCTGATTTCAACTCATATTTAAAAGAAAACTCCTTTGTAATTACGCAACATATGTTGATTTGGTTATTGCGAGCCCAGATTTAACGAGAACCCAGGTAAAACGAGGAAATTTTTCAGAACTGGTTGATTTAGTGTTAAAAGCAGAACAACATTAAACTATACTATTACGAATATAACGATATATTAATATATATTTAATAATAATAGTAATAATAACATATTTAACAATACAATTTACATAATTATCTGGAAAAACTTTATTAAAATTGCAAGAGAAAGAGAATTTGTCTCTTCGTAAAAATTTCATTTGCTAGAAAAAATTTTAAAAACCCACTATATTTTAAATTGTTCAAAACATTAATGAATTGTTACATACCAAGCTTCACAACTTTAAATTTCAGTAAAATGAGTGCTTTTCAATTTAAATGAAACAATCAACTGAAATAATTAACTTTATTAAGTAACGATGAACATTTAGTAAATTATCTCTTCTTCTTAAATAAAAGATACGCCAAAAAAGCCTTTGCTTCATAAAATGCAAAAAAAATAAATAATAATAAATAAATAATTGCTTCAATAGAAACCAAACTTTCATAATTCAGATTCTCCAGTTTTTCCTTACAAGAGACTTACACATTTCATTTCTATTCCTTTAGTCTCAAATCGTTCCCAATCAATCGCAAGTCAGTCCTCAAGTCGAGAATCAGGAATTCTTAGGGCCCGATATAACCGATAAATTCATCACAAAAAATCAGTGTTCTTAAAATAATTTTTAAAAAATCACTTTATACTCCATTATTTATAAAAAGAGGATAAGTTACCTTTCCGTTACGTTGAGTAAAACAAAAATAAAAACGAGGCTAAAGCACAAATAAAGGTACTGAAATGGACAGTATCTTTATTTGTGCTCAGACACGTTTTTTATCAACTCCATTAAGCATATTAAAATAATAAAATAATAATATAATAATAAAATAAGTACTAATTATGCAAAGCACTGAATGTATAGTTATCAATTGAATAAGCACTAAAAAAGCAAATTGAAGTTAATATTCAAGTATATTCATGAAATTAGATTTTAAAATAATCGAAATTAAAACTAAAATTAAATGCAAAAGGTCATTTCAAAAATTTTATTAACTATGGAAATACAACTTTCGCATTTTATGGTTGGAGTATGTGAAAATATCTGTTTTGAAACCCGCAAAACATGTGCCTGACCTCGCCTTACAGTTTACAATTAGCGAATAGCTGAAACGTAGTAGTCCATTTTATCAAAAGTCTTTCACCTGTTTCACCATGAATCACAAGATTATGTCACGGAATTATAAATTGTGCGCAGTAATTGCTATGACTTAGGCATGGACGTTGTTCTCATTGCTCATATGATGTTCATATTTTTCAATACAAATGTTTGTGAATCAATGTCCGATCTGCTCAACGTTTTACAATTTTAATAATGAGTAAACGTAAAATATTATTTCTACTATTAAATCTTTCTTTTCTTTTTCGTGGGAAAAAAAAGGTGAAACTTTAAAAAAATATCTTTTCCTTGTTTAACGGAGTGGTACACCTGGATTTTGTTCAACTTTCGCTATCAATATTGTTAGGGGTTACGGATTGAGAGCAGCAAGTGTTGAATGTCAAATAATTTTCGAAAAAAAAGCATAAAGCTTACACATTTTCCCCTTCAGTGTAAATAAAAGGCAAAAAACGGTAACCCACTTTTAATCATTTTCTGGTAAATGTATGTATTTTATAGCTTTTATTTTTAATGACTTATCAGGATCGAGTTCAACGAGCAATCTGATTTAACGAACATATTTCTTTTGTTCTTTTTTTTTTTTTAATTTCGTTTTTTTAGTTATTTTCATTTTTACCAGCGATTCCGCGATGATTAATTCGATTGAACATTAAAAATGGCTATTCAGCATTCGTAAATAAAAATAGGAATTTTTAGTATTTTTCTAACTAATATGAGATAGAATTATCAATGTAACGTATTTAAAAAAAAAATTTTTTTTTGCATATTATTTAATAGTCAAAAATTATTATTGTAAAACGTTTCAATATTTAATATCTAATCAATATAAATATTCAAAAAATATCATCGATTTGCTGTCTTAAAATTGCAACCTATGTAAGATATTTTATGATAAAATGTATAGCAAAATTTAAAGTAATTTAACTTACAATAAAAATATTGAAGGGTAAAATGCTTTTCAACTATTTTTCTATTATTTTTATAAGTTACGTTTTCTTTATATAAATATTAAATTAAATGTTCACTAATAGAGTTAAAAATTACTATTTTATGATAATATGAAGCATATCAAATAAAATAGATCAAATTCAACTTCCTAAAACATGCATAAAACATGAACAGATATTGAGAAACGTTGATTTTAAGGAATTGTTATAATTATATTGATTGACTTCGCACCAGATTTATTTTCTCCGTAATAAAATACTTTTATTACGGAGCATTTTATTACGGAGAAATATTTTCCTAGATTTAATCTCAGTATTTAAATAAATTTTAAAGAGTGATAAAACTTATAAAAGAATTCAACACATTTTATTTTCTTAAATGCGTGAAAAGAAATAAACTGTCTCCATTTTAAGTTATATCTTTAGTTTTATTCAATTTTCGATTAAGTAATTTACTTCAACCATTTATGAATCTTCACGTAATATTTATTTCATATTTCAGAAATTAAAACTAAATAACTTATTATCAAATTACCGCGCATTTATTTTCACAATATTGTCCATGAAAACCTGATGGACACTTGCAATGTCCACTAACTGCGTCACATAGTCCGTCATTTTCACATTTACATTGATTCAGACACTGATAACCATATGTACCTTTTAGACATCTTTTCTCACAACTGTCACCAACGAAACCTGTTAACAAAGAAAAAAATCGGCAATGATGATATTTTCTTCTCTACATAAACAATGTCTTCAAAAAAATTAAATGCGCAAACCTAATGTTTCATATTTATACTAGGAATATTTAGGATTAGTTATTTTAAGTACTATGAAATATAACTTTCTCTAAAAACATTTTCTCTAACTGCACATCATTTCTAAACAAAATAGGTTTTTTAAAAAAAATATTATTCTTAATTGTTATACTTACATTTAAAAAAAAATTATTATTTTCTCAAAAAATTCTGTGTGGGATGCTTTACTGCAATACCTTTACCAGAGTGCTGTTATACCTTCTTAACCATGAGAAATGAAATGGTGTTGTTTTTGGAAAAGAACTGTAGAAAAAATTTCATTTAAAATAACACCGACAAGGTGACAAGAAATAAGATTTTAAAATTAAAATGTCTATTGAAGTAATTGGTGATAATGCTTAAAAAATATTTACTACGAAAAACTTAACAAACTAATTCAATTAAAAAAGACTTTAATCGTTAATATCGAACTTTTATATGGTCGATCGAATTCTATTTTATGTTTTTTGTGCTTACTTAATTAACTAGAACTAATAATTTTAAAGGAAATCACAACGTGCATACAATATTGCAATAGTTTGTCTGAGTTTTGACAGTTTTAAGACTAAAGGGTTCTAAAAATTACCAGAAACAATCCTTGATATTAACCTTAGCTTTTAAATTTGAATTGAAGATTAGGTGAAAAAACAGTATTTCTTATAGTGCTTTAATTAAGATTTTATACGCTGTGGTTAAAATGGCATTCAGCATTGCTTCTCATATTGTCAGGTTTTCTTAAAAAATAATATTTGTCCGAAAATACCTTCAATTTACTTTTAGTTTAAATGATGCTATCAGCAAAAAAAAAAATTTAATATTAAAGGGCTGTGCCCCCCACTCGCTAACGCTCGCCAACCCCCAAAAATTGCTACGCAATCTTATATGGTTTGCTTCGCAAACCAAGCACGCTTCTCTCGCTACTAGCTTAGGTACATTGCAAATGCACAAAATTCTAAGAATACATAACAATCATTCAAATCTATGATATATAACAACTTTTTTTTTTTAAAAAAAGGATTAGCATTATAGGAAAACGTTTCTCTATATAACATAAAATCATAATGGTCTGACACTGTTTTCCATTGTTGTCGGTGCATTTTTATTGGCCGGAAAATCACGTGGTAGGATCCAGTTTTCCCCCATTCATTTCCATATTGTTTAGGTTGTCATCAGCTGATCACACTTGATGAGAATGCTCTCTCTGGTTATTTCAGTTTCCGGTTTTAAAAGCGCTATATGTTGAGCCACCTCAGCTAGATTTGGCATGGGACATTTTTAGTGGCAACCATTGGTCGATTTTCTAGCGTTGCCATTCGGGGAATTAAAATGAGGCTTTTTTGTCGCCGTGTAAGAGAAATACAAATATAGATATTTAACATAAAAAATAGATTAGACAGTTTTCGTAATTCCCACATTGCCTAGTTCTTTAAAAATAATATTTGTCCGAAAATACCTTCAACTTACTTTTAGTTTAAATGATGTTTTCAGCAAAAAAATATTTATTACATTCTACATAAAAAGTAGTCTAACAGATAATGCTACAAACTTTTTTTCATTTCAATATTTTTCAATATTTGCTAGAAAAAAAGACATTAAAAGTTTTCAAAATTTATTTCTAATACCGTTTCGGTCTCAAAATGGTAAGATAAAAATTAAAAAGATAAACTTTATAAAATTTATTAAATTTGATTTTTTTTGATCTAGATAGTTTGTCCAATTTTCTACTAAACTGAAATTTTTTAGGTTTTTGAACTTTGATATCCGAGAGTCACTTCAAATTTATTAAAAGAACTTGAAAAGATATTTTCTTATTATTTTCAGGATACCATTATTTAAAAATATATTTCGACCTCAATACTTTGCTTAGGGAGAGCAAAACATACCTGGTGTGCAATTACATTTTCCTAACACTGGATCACATAAAGCACCATTTTGACAAGTACAGTTTTTGGAACAGTAATATCCCCATGTGCCATTTGGACATCTTTCTTCACACCTGAAGAAACGAATTAAAATCAATGAAGCTTCATGAAAACCAATAAAAGAATTATTTTTTACCATTTAAAAATAATTTTTGATCAATCTTTATTTTTTTATTAAACAATGAATATTTTTTTCTTCAACTATATGATAAAGTTACTACCGTAAACCGGGGCGAGTCTACCCATGCAGGGGCGAGTTTACCCATTTTAGTTTTATTTAATTTTCACTATTTTAAATTGCAAATAAAAAACATTTTACCGCCGGAGGACTTAGTTCAGACTCTAAGGAAGATGGCGCTGTAGTAGTTTGATCCGTTTTTATTTATTTGGTGTCTTTTTAACCGACCTGTTCAAACGTCTTTTGAGAGATTTGTATTGAAAATCAGCAAACTTTTAGTTGGTGCTCCGTAAGTATATTATTATTATTACTATTTTCCCTTTGGATAAGTGATAAACTTATCTAAGACTAAGATTACATTAATTTTATATGAAAAAAAAAACAAAAAGAATGTAAGTTTTGCTGCTGAAAAGCCAGAATTCTCGGGCGAGTGTACCCATTCGTATTTAGTTTTAATAAAGCATAATAATATAATTTAGAACTTCGTTTATATTAAGATTAAGTCATTTTAAATGAATTTGAGTATATTATTTTAATTCTGCATTGATAAATTTATCATTAATAAGAAAATTTATAGATTAAATATAAATGTAAATATAAAATATGTTTATTTTACCTATTTTTTCAATTTTTATATTACAAACTTAACTTTTTTTATTTAATGCAAGTTAAATAAATTATTATTTATTATTACAGATGGTTCGAAATTATATTCGCAAAACAAATGGATTTAATTGTTACAAAAAAATGCCATGATTTTGTTATTAATCTTTAATTATTATTATTTATTAATTATTTAATTGTAAATTTATATTAATTTTAATTTATTTTTATCAACAATAATCAGAAAAAAAAGTTATAGTCTTAAATAATTCTTTCTTAAATAATAATTTTTTCTTAAATAATTGTATTCCTGGCCTACAAAATATAGAGATTAGACAAAATTTCGAAAAAATTAGGCCATAAATTTGTGTGCCAGGAAACTATATATATTTGGCGCAATCTCCCATAAAGGGAAAGAAAATTTAAAATAACCTTTAACGATCTATGTAAAAGACAACAGAGAAATACCTAACGTTTCTCCGTCTCTAAGCACCTAAGTTGACACAACAAAAAAAATTAATTAAAAATTTAATCTTTTTCATTCATTGTTTTCAGTTAGCTCAGGAAAACTTATCTTTTAATAGTAAATAGAAAAACATCTCTCACAACAGATATATTTTTTTGGGACAACACATAATCTTTCTGTGCTCATATCTGACCAAAAGACAAACACTGTTTTCTTTTTTAATCCCTTTGAAATTAGAATTCGACTGTATTAATAAACTATTTTTTATTTTCCAAGCTTTTTGAATTTGAACACAAGAACCTTGCATACTGCATCATTTATGTTATATGTAAAGTAAGTTATATGTAAAACAATGGTTATGGCTTTTAAATTGAAAAAATAATATAAGATTAGTCATAACTACCTGAAAATCAATGCAATGCATTTTTTTTACTTCTTAGCTTAAGTACAATTTTTTATGGATGTCAAACAATCTCGTTTACATCTGAAATTTTAAAAGTCAAATGAGACAATAGAATGACCCCTCCCTGGGAATCAAAGCTAAATAATTACAAGGCCAACTATTTCGAACAAATTAACGTCTCCGTTCCACTTGAAATTTTTAGAAAATGTATTTTTTATCTATCGAGTCAAAATTATTTTAGGGTATATTTCAGAGCATCTTTCGCTAGAGTTTTTTTCCTCTTTAGTCCCCCTTTTCTGCTTACAATTACTAAAGTTATGTGATGTAATGCATAAATAGTATGATAGTTCTTAAAATTAGCGGGAGAGAATAAGTTTGAAATTAAAATTAAAAGAGTAATTCAAGAATTTTTTTTCCTACTTAAACAACAACTCAACCTGTTGTATTTTTTGAGTTGAACATATATGCACTTACTTTTCACTACACGAATAAATAAGAAACAATAAAAGAAACAATCAATTATTTATCTTCATTTTTCAAGAAAGTAGTAAGCTAAGTAAATATTCAGCTGTTTAGCAACGAGCAATTTCAAAGCAGCAGATTGATTTTTTAATTTGCTTACAAATTTAATTATCGAAAATTCTGAGCTTTCTTTTATTAAGAACTTGATAATATTTTGAAAACGACCATTTAGTTTAAAGGGAAACTTAATTAAAAATACTGAAAAAATAGATTAGTATATTACTGAAAAAATAATCGATGTGGTAGCGTAAAGAATAAAATTTTGAAAAATGAAAAAAATTTAATTAAATAGTTAGCAAAATAGTCGTGCGAAATTCTCGTGCCCTGGTATTTAAAAAAATTATTTTAAGATTAAGATGTGTAAGACGATGTGTGCCATGTTGAGAAATTTTAATATGCTTAAAAATGTGAGCGTATAGATATTCGGCAACTCTTTACTTTTTGTAGTGACATGAAATATCAACACAAGATTTCACATTGTTGATATTATAATTTTATTCGCTATAACGATACATTTTTTAAAACTTTTGTCTTCATTTAAGATGTAATTGTTTGATAATTAAAAAATATATAGTGAAAAAATTTATTCCAAACTTTATATTTTTCAAAAGCAATGGCTACGCATGTATATTATTGAAATTGTATCAATTATTCAATGAACCTACTGAAAATAAAATTAAAAGGAGAAGATGAAAAAAAGGGGTTAATATTCGGGTATCAGCGGAAAAAATTGAAATGAAATTTTACGATGTCACCAAATCATTTTTTAAAAAAATTATTTAAATTTTTCTCGGTTTCTACCAAATAAAAACAGTTGAAACTTTCTAAAATATATTTTCAATAGAATGCTTTTTCTATAGAAATATACTTGGAGTTATACAAGGTATAAAAAAATTTATGCCTCATAATTAAAAAAATTTTCATCCACTATTAAATTAAATAACAAAAAATAAAAAATAATTATTAAAAATTATTTTTTCAATGAAATTTTTTTGGGTGCATAGGTTTTATAAGTGGGGGCAATTTTTTTTTTTCAAATTTCTTAATTATTTTGAAAGATATGACAAAGAAACGCAAAAAGTGAAATTAACATTAAGGTGACCAAACTTTCATCCGCTCTCCTGACTAAACTATTAGAGTCACGATTTCTAGTTTTCAAATCCAAATACTTGTTCATTTATAGAAACTACGTATTTATTTAAAGAAAGTTAGTTTTGTGTCTGATTTCGTTACTTAATTAATAATTAACAAAGTGTAATTAGCATATTTGAAGTCATCTCCAGAGATTATTAAGACTGACTCTTAGTACTAGAAAATCCAACCATTAGAATGAGAGTTACTCAGGATTATGTCTTTTTATTGCCCCTATACTTGCTTATATGGATGGAAATATACTTATATGCATTTATTTTAAGTCACATTTTATAAATTTTAATTATAATCGCACTTACAGTTTTCCTTTATATCCTGGAGCACATTCACATGTCCCATGTATATGATTACACTTTGCACCATTCTTACACAAACAGACTTCTTTGCAGTCCTTCCCGTATTTTCCTTGAACACAAGAATTCTCACAATGTGTTCCCATCCAACCTAGATAAATTGTAATTTGAAAATATAGTATTATTTTAACTTTTTGTTTCAAAAGCTTTAGAAATTAAAATCTAAAACAAAAACTATTTAAAAACGCTATTTAGTGAGCTTCAGACCATTGACTCGCGTGTTGTTCGCAAAATCGAATCAAATTTAAATAAATCAACAGATAGACATGAAAATTTTTCACAAAATGGAAGTAAATATATTAGAAACAGATTCACTATTACTCCGGTTATACCTGGCGTAAAAAAAAAAAAAAAAAAAAAAAAAAAAAAAAAAAAAAAAAAATTTGCAACTGATTTGAATATATTGGTGTAAGAAAGGAACTATGATGAACAATATTTATTTCGACATTTAATAAATGTATAATGACTGACTCAAGTGGGCAAAATTGATGCTGTAACAAGATCACCTATGAATATCTTAGCAATTAGGAATTAATTATGATAGGTAACTCCTAAAAAATTGGATAAGAGTATGACGTGTTCCAATTTTTGTTCTAAGCTCAATGAAGATGCCCATTTCAATAAATCCTGATGAGGCTTTCACAGACTCGTTCCAGCAGCTTTGACTATGTTAAACGTAGTCGAAATGAACTAATGTTACTGGGTGCGGCAAAAATAAACTTGCACTAATGTATTGCATCATAGAAGTTAACTAATTTACTTTTTAAACAGTGTGTTAATTTCTTTTTGTCTATCACTTTACATATTAAATATTATATAATTTTTCTCTTAGTTTCCGTTTTTTTTTGGGGGGGGAGGGGGGATTTTTTTACAATGACAAGAAAAAATCGAGGATTGCATGTAATGGATGATGCAATCCATTTCCCATGGATTGCAGTGTATAGTCGATTTTGATATTAGTTATAAAGTTTGAACTCCCTAAAACAATCGCTACGGCCGAAGTGGGATAGGTTAAAGGTATAAGACTTGCGGCTCAGTGATGAAAATTTTAACTAGCGGTTGCGACTCAATCAAGGTTGGCAAGTTTCTGCCGAGGTGGTTAAAACCACTGGTAGAAACCGGTTAAAACTGGCATGACAGAAACCCTTTTCTGCCACATTTGTGGCTGAAACTGGCAGAAATTCAGAAAATGACATAAAAGTTAAGTACTGAGATTGACATGCAATGGATAATACATAGAAAAAACATTTAAATGTTAAACAAAGTGATCAGTGAAATTGCTATTTACATTTATGAATCAGTGAATCTAACCAATTATATTACCTCTTACATACAGCAAAGATTAAAACTGTTACTGTTATAATAATTGGATTGCTGCCATGCAAATTATGTCTTGAAAAGAAAGAAAACTATTTGAAAGTAGCTCTATTCAGTTACATTAAGAGTTAAATGATAATAATTACTGAATTTCAGAGTTTAATATAATAAACTAAAATTTAGTATTTATATTTATTATTACATTACTTTATTGTTTATTTAATATAAATATTTGATATACTGCACTGCACTCTTTATATTTAATAAAAACAAAATAATATATATTTACAAACAATGAATTAAAAAGTTTGTTACAGTTACATTTTTCAGTTTACTTAAACAAAATGTCATTAAGCAATTACTAGAACTAATATAGAAATTTTTTTATTTTCTGCCAGTTTTTGCCGGTTTTTACCGATTACAACCAGTTTCTGCAACTGGCATGGCAAAAACCAGTTTCTGCCGGCAAAAAGCCAACCCTGGACTCAATATCACTGCAAAAGACGGCCCCTTTGAAATCAATTAAATTTATTTATTAATAAAAGTCTACTCTTATTTTTATTTGTTATATTTTGTTAATTTGTTTATTTTTATTTAAATAAAAGTAAAAATTTTTGTCTTGGAATTTTGAGGCACCGTGTACTTAAACTACAAAGATATTTTGTTCCAGGATTAATTCCAGTTTTTTTTTAAATTTTTATTTATTTATTTATTTGTGCTACCAGTCACCAAGTTTTGCATAATCCTAAGTCCTTGTGTAATAGATATTATTATCTTCTCAAAGATAACCTTTTCGCTTTGAAATTCATCCATGTGAACTGATAGATATAGTGTAGCGAGTAGTTTATTTTTTTAACTATATTATTTTATACTAATTCACGCTTACGCTAACTTTTCACCGTAAATTAAGTTGAAGTTTTTTTTTTAATTTCTTTGTATTTACTTACTGAAAGGAAAACAAACCAGTTTTATTCTCAATATGATGTACTACTAATTAGCAAAATTTGGAAATATTCTTACAAAATTTTTTTTCTTATTTAACTAGTGGGTTCTAGCTCCTCTGCGCTTTATCCGCAGTTGGGTTGCTCGCCTCTATGTTTTTCGTTATAAAATATGATTAATTCCATTTTATATATTTTATTCTCTGAAGCATCGACGCTCCCATTCTTCTTGTAGTTTTTTGTTTCTTTTAAAGTCTTTAAATAAACTTAGAAAAAAACTATTGAAAAAATAAACCCTTTTTCAAGAAATGCTTTTTCGAGTTTAAGAGAAAAATCACGAAAACCTCTCAAGTTTACTCAAAAACTCTAATTATTAATCCAATTAATTTTTGCTAAAAGATACAGAAAAAATTACCGATAGTTCTTATAAGGTTTTCTAAGAGTTTGCTCACTAACACTCGTTAACATCCATAAATCGATTTTTTATATATATATATTATTCGCATTAATACAACTTTTTTCTGATTTTACAGACACGATAAATTTTCCAAAAGTGTCCATATAATCATTGAATGATCTATATAAGCATTAGTAAAATGAAAATGCTCATTTCATTGTAATTCAAGCCCATTCTTCTTTTAAAAAAGTATTCAATTGTTACTTATTCTTTTATCGTCCTTTGATTCTGTTGCACATTGCTTGTACATTTATCGCTTTTGTTCAAAAATAAAATTTGCATAAAAAACTATCTCAAACAGTTTTTTGATCAATTGACTTAAAAAATAAAAATTATGATTAGCTTTGAGGATCAACTCACAGCTCCCCAGTAGCAAAGAAAAGAAATATATCTCAAAGTCTCGAGATATAAATGCATTTTTCACGAGTCTTGCAACAAAAGATATATGGTCAATGTTTAAAGCTAAAGGAGAAAACATCAATTATAAATGTAAACACGTTTATACAAATTAGAAAATAAAATAAAAAAACAATGCAACAACTTCATTTAATGTTAAAAAATAGTGGAATATTTTATGTAATTAGTAAGGTTTCTGATTATAACTCAAAAACATGAAGTTGCAATTGCTACGGACTATTTAAACTTTTCATAAATGTCGCCTAAACTAAGCTGTTGTTCTATAATCCCAGTTCCTCAGAGCAGCATTTAGATTCAAGTGTATTGTTAAAACATAAAAAAAATATTTAATCTTCAAATTGCTTTAATTCATGATCTTAAATGTTCGAAAATAGTGTACTAGGAAATATTCTAGGATAAATATAAAATAATTATGATACCTTGTGCACAAGAACAAGACCCAGTATATCGTATACATGTTGCTCCGTTTTGACAAGAACATCTATTTGCACAGTTCTTACCCCATGCAGTTGGATGGCAAACTGTAGATCAAAAATTGTATGGTTAATGTTTTTTTTCTCTCAAAATAATAATAATAATAATATTGTTATTAGTGATAATAATATTAATAATATTAATATTAATAATAAGTACAAATTAATTTTCGATGCATATTTTTATAAAAACATTCTTACTAATATTTTCAAAAAACTCCAAGACAGTTGGTCAAATTCAAAGTCACATTTTTGTTCTCTCTGGCAATTAAGAGAAAAGCGCAAGTTAAAAATTTAATTTTTAGTTTGAAAAAAATAAAATTTTATTGTTTTTATTGAACCAATTATTTGTTTTATAAGCATATTGTTGAGAAAAAGTTTTTATGTTTAAGAAAAGAGAAAATATTGTAACAAAAAAGGAGGAAAAAAATGCAGATTTTTCAACAGGTTGTTTCCATTTCCAGACTAACCTGTACGCTAGCATTATCTTACTTTAAAATCAGCTTACTTTACACGAAATGATCTTTTATTGCATGAAATCTACATAACACGGATATATTTGGAGGAAAATTATCAAATATAATTTTACGATTCATGTATTGATCCTGCAGAAAAACCAAAACTTTTTTCCTGCTATAACAGTAATGAAAAGATAGTACAAAACTAAAATAATTAATCGTTGGATGAATTTATAAAAAAATCGTTCGTTAAAGGTAAAATTAAAATGTTTTATCGTTTGTTGTAACACGTAAGCTAAGTATATCGCTCATGGGCTGCAATAGCGGCACAACTAAAAAAAATCATGTTTTGAGATAAGTGGGGGTTTTTTTTTAGAAAATATCTAATTTTAGTCTTAATATTATATATTTTATATAATATGTTTCAGAATCTTATATAATATGTTTTATAATCATATATAATATAATAAATAAATAATTGCTCTTAATTTAGTTTTTAGCCTAATTTTTTTTAAATAAATTAAAACAAGCTTAATTTATTTAGCCAAGGGTCGGATTAAAGTGTAGTAGGGCCTAGATCTATGAATAAGGTATTTCCCTATTTTTCATGAAAAGTTTTAATATCTTTTCAAACTTAAAAAAAAATTTAATTAACTAAATAGTAATCAAAGCTAAATCAGTTAAAGACTTGTAAATTAATACATGCACTACATGCATTAAGAAATAAAAATAGTTATACTTATGTGCTCACTAACTTGAATAATCTCAAGAAATTGAAGGGAAAAGACATTTCTCATAACATAAAAAATTTATTTATTTCAAAAAATATAATGGTAGAAAATGTCGAAATTTTTCGCCCCTAAAAATAGGCGCCCACTCTCAAGACTCACATGAGGAAAATAATATACTTTAAATCTATGGATAAAAGCTTTTTTTAATTCCGTTCAAGAAATTTTCAACTGAGCTATTTGGGCCATATTTTCCAGATTTTAGCTATCCGTCTGGGACAATTCTGGGGACAAGCACCTAGATCCTTTGGAAAAATTTTATGTTCATTCAGAAAACACATGCTTTTGTGTCTTTTTTTTTAATTCGCAATTCAAATTCGCCTGTACAAATTTATTTGAGTATTTAAGATTAGGCTGTCGAATCATTGAGATTCGATATTACATCGTGAAGATCCGATCATTTGATTAAAAGTTATTCATGATGTTCACTTTTTTTTTGCTTGCTGCCCACTTTAGAAATTAGTCCAAACCAATGCAATAATTTAGTTTAAACTCTAAACTAACAATTTTTATGACAAAAAATTTACATTGATTACATTTAAATATTAAAAGAAAAAAGTATTAAATAGTATGCTTGATTTAAATTCTTTTAATTAAATATGGTAACAGCACAAAAAAAATTTGTGGTTTCTAAAGTTCTGCAACTTTTTGCTTTATTTTATTTATTATTTTTTTTGTTATATTTTCTAGAAAAAATAATTTTGTTAATTATAGCATTACATTATGAAGCGAAGTAGGCTTTGTTTTAATGTACACGTAACAAAGATATTTTGTAATTATTTAATTTAAAATTACAAGCATTAAAAGCAAAATATGATTTATTGTTTATTGGATATTTGGCTACCTTGCGGGTGTCAATTTTAAACACAAACAAAATAAAATTATCTTACTGAAAAACTTCTTTTATAGTTTCCGTCAATTATAAAAACAAACACCCTATATTTTATTTTCTAAGCTATGAAATTCATTAATGAAATAAATAATACAAATATTGGTCCAATTTCAATGCTCTACAGTTTTAAAAAGAATTGCAGTATTAATATTGAAAAAAATTTTTTGCTTTGAACAAGATGTAATCTACAGTGAATTTCATATTTTCAATGCACAGAAATTTCATCAAATTCAATGTCAATACTCATTTTCGAAAATATATAAACTTTGTTACATTTCATTAATTATGTCACGAGGACCTGACTAATTTCAATCCATAAAGAATAATTATAAGAAAAAACAAATCCAATTATCTTAACAAATCAGATTCGTATGTTTTTCAGCTTTTAAATTACTCGAGTTTTGCAAATAATAATAGCTTGGACATCAATCATACATTTTTAAGTCTATGTACTTAGAATACGAGAAAATATGATGACGGAAAAGAAATGACAATGTAGAAATTTTTGCCTTTGTAGAAAACAATTTTTTTATTTATTTTATTCAAATGTATCTTTTCACATTTAGTAATGAAAAAGTACAAATACTCAAAAAGTCTAATTATCAATACTTACTAGCATCGCAGGTGGGTCCCTTGTAACCTGAGTTGCAATCACATCGATTCGGAGAAGCACAATTACCCATTTTACAATTTGGAATGCAAATGGCTAGAATTAGAAAAAAAGTTGGAAAAAATGCGTCAGCCGAAAGAGCTTTGATAAGCTTTTAAATTAAGTTTTTCAACACTTTGATAAGCTCTTTAATTGAACAATATTATTTTCTAATTTGAGATGAGTGATACGTTTAAAGAATTTGTCAAGGTACCAAAAATGATAGTTTTTAAAATTGTCTAAATAGCTTTGGTTTAAGATTCGTTTTGAGATTTTTTTTTCGAAATTGTATTAAAAATAAGTTAATTTCATGCGAAAAAAAATTTCTCCTGCATTTGTTAAAGAAGCAACAAATATATAAATGAAAATACAACTCAGTTAAGAATACATTATATGCAATATTTTTATCCGTAACTTTAAAGCCTATTAATAGACCTTTCATATTTCTCCAGCATACCCTCCTGATCACGTGACTAAAAGGACAATCGAAATCTTCATAGGACATATGAAACAAATGCAATTATCCTTACAAACACTACAAATACTATAATCAGCGTGTTTATTTACAAATAGTCTATAGGGACAAATTAATCGATAAGTCCGGGAGCCAGACAACTTCACTTTTTTGTTTCGAAATTGAGATTCTTGCATTTTTACTCTCACATTTTTACCTCCTACTTTATATAGTATATATTGTGCAGTGAAATCTCAATTTAGTTCGAAAACATACCACATTTTGGAGATTGCCTGTTCTCGGATAATGTGCTACAAGACGGCTACCGTTGTTGCTTATGAAACTGTTCACATTATCTAAGAATTAATAATTTAGTTTAGACTTGTTATTTTGTTGGTGCTTTTTATCACGCAATCAGTGATTCAGAAAGTATTTTTTGGTTAGTTACATCAAAAACTCCTCCACGAAGGTAAATTCCTTCTATGTCGTTAGGTTGGGGATCAAAATTACAAGGCTACTGAATTTAGCATTGATAGTCGTAAACCCAAAATTGGGTCAGCTGTTCAGGGCCGGTTATAAAATAAAATGACTCAGGATAATTGGAAAATTTTCCAGTATTTTCTAGTAAGTCTGACAATTTTTAGACTTATTACAGAGGTCCACATACTTTTCAGTCAATTAGAAACCATATTATTTATGTATTACAAGATTATTTAAATATTGTTGCTGAATTAGCCTTATTTACCTCAGTTAGTTTGCAATTAGCCTTGGGTAGTGAGGACGTATTTTATAACCAGTGTAGAATAACCGACCCATTTTTTAGTTTATGTTATCACTGTTCAATTCCATTATTTTGTAATTTTATACGCAACCACAAGACAAGGAAACTCTGGGATTAAGCATTGGGCTGAAGTAGCTTTCACGAGAAACTTTTTGATGGAGTTCCCCATTTGTGTTATATGGAAGGGAAAACCCCGGAAAACCTCTCATGTTTAGCCGAAGACTGGAAAATTCTAACCCATGATTCGTAAACCTCTGAGGATATTTTTACGACTGCACTAGTTGATTTGAATTCTGAAGTCGGTGAGAGCCGAGATTAGAATTCGAATTAACCACTTATCGCCACTCGAACGTTGAGTCAAACGTAGAGAAAAGTCGAATATGTACCACTTCAGTGAGGCGCAAGTGCTTTATGTCCTGAGCCATAATTTCTCCACTGAGGTATTGTTTTATTTCATAAAGGGCGTTTCATAGCCGACCAATTTCTTGATTTACGATTATGAATGCTGTACTACGTAGCCACACAAAAACCACGCATATCCCCATGGTTAGCTCGAAAGTAAAGGAAATGTAATCAAATACCAGTCTTTCTACTGAGAATAATTTTTATGTAAGCACTGTGGTCGATGCAAACCAGAAGATCTTATCATAAACAGACTTATAGAAGATTTATTGTAATAAGTGGTAGCAGAATTAAATTCTAATTCATATGTTTCCTAATTAACCCAAAATCATCCAAGCTAATATCAATAAGCCTAAAAATATCAGACGCGTAAATACTAAAGACTTACACCAAAATAAACATGACCCATTCAAAAAAACCCACGGTGTTAGCAAAAAGTCAGATTTTTCAATTAGCCTACGACAAGCATCTAGATATCTAGGGAATGCAATAAAATTAGAACAGTCATGGAGCTTTGTTAATGAGATGCATTATTTAGTGGACTTTTTTGTTGAGGGAATTAATTTAAAGTACATATTTAACTCAACAAAAGGAGTTTTTATTGTTAAACACTAGATTAAATTTAATGTATCTTTGAAAAAATACCTACGTTGACATTGTCTATTTATTTCCTTGTACCCATTGCAGCATACTTTTACCATTCTTGAATTTGTTCGAGTGGCTGTAGAATAAGTTGTACGATATCTCGTTCTGAAAAAGGAGAAATCATTGCGATCAAAATGAAAGATAAAATTTTAAACAAACTGCATCCATCAAGAGCATTTATTTCTTAGCAAATTTAGAAAATCCAAAACTTCTGCTTCCTCATCATGACATATTGTCAGAGCAATTAAAGAAAATTTAACACAGTTTCAATAAAATAATATATTCTTAATTTAGAAAATATTCAACTGATTTATCTGTTCTTTGGTTTTTAAGAATAGTTTAGTATACTGTAGCATTCTTGATAAGCCTGAGCTATACAATTTATCTCGTATTTCTTTAAGCCCAAAGACAATTTTCTTTGGTATGTGATTACGTTTAACGCTCTGTAGTAAATTAATATTGCTGAATTTCAGTAGTATACACTGAAGAGCCTAAAAATACAATAACGCATTGTGAGATCTTTTGCTTTCAAAGCAGAGGCTACTTACCTTAGCATGGACGCTATGAATTCTTAGTAGAAAAACGGAGACATATTGTACCAAATGTATTAGCAGCGGTCAAGTAAAGTCGATATATTTCGAGATGGTAGTGTCTGATTTCCCAGCTCCCTTTCTATGACATCCCAAATATGCTTTATTGGATTAGGCTGGGTGAGTTGCCATTGTCAAGGCGGCCATTAGTTACAGTTCATCATCATTCTCTTCGATCAACTCCCACACAATTCGAACCTTGTGAATTAAGGCGTTGTCCGATTAGAAGTTACCGTCTCCTGTTGGCAAAACAGATACCATGTAAGCGTGCTACTGATCCGCAAATTATGTTCAGATGTTCTGTTATTTACAATGTATGTTCTGCCACAACTATGGCCTCCAGTGTCGCCAACAAGAACGACCCCCAAAGCATAAAACCGCTACCACTAGCCTGTGTGTGATCTGCTATGCATGAAGAAACATCTGTTCACCTGTAAGAACACCTACTTTGACATGACTTTCAACATGATGAATCGTGATTTATCTGATTAGAAAACTGTCTTTTGCTTATCCATTGTCCAGTGTTGATGTTACCGGCGCAGTTGTCTTTGACGCTTGGTCACCTGCGGCACACAAGTAGGTTCCATATCCAAGAGAGTCCACTGAACTCTCTGCTTGCACTTGGACAGACATTGTATTGAACTACACATTTGTAAAAATATGACTTTTTAAAATTGATTTCTGAGGAACAATGCGACCAATTTCGCTTATATATTGTATTTTGCCATGTAAAATTACATTCTTTAAAGTGGTGTAAAAAATTGTATACGTATATTTTATATATAATTAGATTGTCAACCAGAAATTTTTATTCAAAATTTTTCCAACTAAACAAATTATTAAATTAAGTTTTTAATAAAAGTAAATAAAAGTTCAAGACATAAGGCGAAATACCCAAAAAAAATTACATTCAGGGGTCCAAACTTTGGGCAGCTCTCCTACCAAACTATTGTGACCATATTTCTTATATTTCCCGACTACTCCCGATGTTTTGGGGTTCATAAATCCAAATCTATCGAAAAGGGGGTACGTTTTTTTAGAGAAAGAGGGTTTTTGTGACTGATTTTATAATTCAGAATAACGTCTTCACTAATTAATTAGCATATTTGAGGTCATCCCCTTGAACCATTAAGATTGAGTCATAGAAAATGAAACTCTGATCCAATAATTAGATCATAAGTTATTCACAGTGGTCTATTTTTTATAAATTTATTTATTCATATTTTTTACACTATGCCTAATATTTTGGCTTATAAGTGTATATCTATAATATATTATGCAATATTTAAAAAAAAACATTTTTTAACAAATATTACTTCAAATTTCAATAATAACTTCAATTTTGTGTATTAAGCATGGTTCTCTAGGATTATTTTTTTGGTTCTTAGGAATTCAAATCAAAAGAATATGCCATCATTTTAAGGATAAAAAAAATTTTCCAAAAGAGTTTTCAGCAGCTTTTTTTTCTTTCATCTTGAAAATTGGCTGAATAAAACGACACCAAATTGCATTTTTTTAACATCTGCATTTGTTGAGTGACGTGTGTGGAAATTAGATCTGTATTTAAACTACTTGACAAAACTCGAAAATCTGAATAAAAGCGGATGGTGATTAAATGGTTGGTAAAATGAAAAATAAATCTTGTAATACGAAAAGAAACGAGTAAAATTAATAATAACGGAATTATTTGGGAACATATATTTCATACTGGCTATTCTAGTATTTCAATATTAAATATCCGATAAATTTATAATAAAAAGTGAATTAACTATTAGTTTTTATTTTCTTTGAAAGATGTTCGTATTTACTGGAATGCAATCATGAATAAACATACTAAGATTCCAGATGTATGCAAATATAAACTACATGAATGAACATTTACGTAGAAAAATAAGTTATTGACATCAAAAGACAACTCCACTTACCTATACCTCGTACAACGAGGAGGTATGCTAAAACACCAAGTAGTATATGACGTCATATATGAGGTTTTTCTAGAAGCTGCATACGTCGTCAAGTAACTAAAAATATTTCAAGAGTTTTAAAAGAATGTTTTAACTTCGTTTTCAATAACTTTCCGAAACTTTTGAAATGAATTCAAACATTAATGCAGATTATTCTGCAAATTTAAAGCAGATCTTGTAAACACTTTTTCTTTCCAAAATATATTTTAGCATTTTTATTCAACTAAATGTTAACAAACTTATATTATTAATAATGTTAAATATCGATATAATGTAATATACTAAATGTTAAATATATTTATATTATTATGCCATTCTGAAGAATAATATAGGAACCTGGGCCGACTAGGCTCTTTGGTGGTCAGGGAGCTGACCTCATGTCAGGAAGATGCTGTGTTCGATTTTCTTTCCTTCTCTCTGTGCTATCTGTCCTTCTTACTGAGGGAGCAACATTGGCCCACCTAATATGATGCCCCTGAAAGAGTAATCAGCAAATCTGCCCTTCTTATACCCGAATGACGAATGTCAATGTCCGAATGGGCATTGGCAAACGAAAATATGCATGTAAAAATCAGGATATCTTTTGTTTTTGCTTTTGTTTTTTGCCAATCGGACATATTTTAAAATATGATAAATGTTTTTTCAAACTGGTAATAATAGTTTTACTACCTTGGATTGCATAAGTTGTGTTAGTCATTAAACGTCTCACGTGTGAATTAGTTTAGGAAGATTTAGAAAGGACATATACCTTTCAAATAATAAACAGTCGAATTAATGTTAGTGATCATGACACCAGCTTACTTGCATTTTAAAAGCTTCCTTAAGCATCAAATCAAGCTAATTTGTAAACAATTTGGAAAAGAATATATTTGATTACAGTAAGTACCCAAAATTGATGTTTCAAACCAAAGGAGCTTACACACTCTAATTAGATACAGATTTTTAAAACAAAGTTGTGCGAGTATGTGCGGGAATAAGAGCAAACCCCAATAATTCATATTTGATATATCAGGTTGCAAAAGTGAAAATAAGTTACATCCTTGCATACCTATAGAAGAAAAGAATAAAAAAATCTGCGAATTGCTCCAAAATGCACAAAGTTGCGAAAAAGTGTGCTTTATTTATTTTATTAAACCCTAACCAAATTAAGTAGTGTATAAGCGACAGTACACTGTGAAGAATACCCGTCGTTTTTTCGGATTTTCTCCGCATAATTAACGGTTTAAAACCGTTTTGTTGAAGAAAACATTTTCATTTCCGTTTTCACCTTAATTACAAACAGATTAAAACAGTCTGTTTATACTCTAGTTTCCATGCTAGTTTTACTTTTTCTCCAATCATTTTACGATTGTTTTCTATACTTGTTCTTATTGTTTGGCAATTATTTATTGTTTGGCAATTATCTTATTGTTTGGCAATTATCTTATGGATCAGCACATCTTATAAATGAAGCTTCGATTCAACTTTACCGTTAGAGTGATACAATATTGAAGCTAAATTCTTACTATCACATTTTTTTTAATAATAAGATACCTAAGCCGTAGTGGATCAGGGAACAGAGCACATGCCCCTCAACAAAGATACCCAGGTTCGAACCCAGGCGATGACAAGTCGATGAGAGTTCTGCCGAAATAAAATATTCACATCTGCGAGTACATAAAAATTTATTTTCTATTAAATACACCCAAGCACTTGAATAAACTGGTACCTCTTGTGTTCTAATATATTTCAATTAACCAAAAAAGGGAATAGCTTACGAATCAAAACAATTTCGAATTAAAATGTTTTTTTTATTTACATGTACTGATTATAAATTGGGATCAAAATTACCAGAATATGGTAAAATTTACAGTGTTTCAGGGAGCACCAAAATGCGCAGTAATTTTCATTGAATCACTTTGGTAAATATAACAATAAAATATTGTTTCATAATGCGCATTAAAATCTGGTAATTGTTTAAAAATTTTGTAATTTTCTTGTCATACTTTAGAACCTGGTATAAAAGCCTTTTATACGGTTAAGAAAGAATTTCAGTTTTGCATTTTCACTAAATATGTGGTAATAGGAGCTATAATTTTGATAACCTGAATTTCTGGTGAACCGTTGCGACGTGAACGGAAAAATTATCGAATGAATTGTTAAAATATCATATATTTTTGTTTTATTACCAGAAATATGTTTGTTTTCTTTACCAAAAATATCATAAGCAATAAATAATCAAGTATTTATTTTATAAAGTGTTATAACTTACGTTTCTGAGACATCGCATACGTAGTGCCCAGTCGGTTCAGCATCAAATGGTTCACAGAAAAGGGAAACCAAGAAAATTAAAATTGTCCAATCAAAATTTAAATTCTTTTTCATTTTTTTCAAAAGCTAAGAAAAAAAACAGGAAAATTTTTTTAAATTTTTATTCTATGCTTACAGTTTAAAGTACACTCTATAACAAAAAAATCGACGCACCAAGAAGCAATCATCCGATTGCTTTGAAATTTCGTATGCGTGAATGTCTTGAACAGATCAGGCTGGAATGATGCCGACTTGGGACGTATAGTCTTTAGCGACGAATCCCGCTTCCAACTGTGTCCTGACGATCATCGAAGACGTGTTTGGAGACGCACAAGACAGAGGGAGAGTCCCGCCTTCACTATTGCAGGCCACACCGGCCCTCAACAAGGCATTATGGTCTGGGGTGCCGTTTCCATTGACAGCCGGACCCCGTTGATCGTCATTAGAGGTACACTTACTGCACAGCTGTACGTCGACGACATCCTAAGACCTGTTTTGCTACCGTTCCTTTTGCAGCGCCCTGGGCTGGTTTTTCGGCAGGACAATGCCAGACCACATACGGCACGTGCTCCTATGAACTGTCTGCAAGCTTGTCAAAGTCTTCCTTGGCCTGCCAGATCACCAGATCTCTCTCCCATCGAGCATGTCTAGGATATCATGGGAAGGCGATTGCATCTGGCACGGAATGTTGATGACTTCATTCGACAATTGGATCGAATATGGCAGGAAATACCGCAAGAGACCATCCGGGAGCTTTATCGGTCTATGCCACGCCGTGTGGCAGCTTGTATCCAGGCTAGAGGCGGGTCAACACCTTATTGAACTTGTTACTGTTACTCTGCAGTAAATCATTCAATTGTTCTGAAAATTTAATCATTTACTATTCTGTACATTGTCTTCCTATCCACCAATTTTCGCTTCAATCGGACAACTCCTTCATGGTGCATCGATTTTTTTTGTTTGACTGTAGTAAAAATTTCTTAAATAATTCATAAATAATAAAGCTCAAATAGACCAATAAAAATAGTGCTAAAGCAAAAAAGAAAAAAAATTGGTGAATGAAGCACAAATGAAAATACAGAATTGGACATACTATAGTTTCAGTTCTCTAAACAAAAACCTTCCTAGGTATTTAAATGACAAATGGTATTAGAAAAGTAAAGAGTTAAACACATGCGAAGAGGCTTACAGAGGAACAAGTTTGAACAAAGTAATAAAAAGAAGGTTAATATGAAACGGGTGTGAGGGGGTAAGGCGGAAACCCCAGGGAGTAGAATATTGAATTAGATTAGATTTCCAAACTTTGGAAAAGGGTGGGATACATAGAAAGATGATTAACTAAATTATTCATTGTCTAAGTTACTAGAATTTTTTCTCTGTTTTGATTGGTTAAACCGCTTTACACTTGTTTATTTCTTTACTTTTCTACAGTCATTTCCTGTTTATCACGGAAGAAGGCTCTTGTAAGAACTGAAACTATAATATTTCAAGTTCTATACTTTCACTTTCATTTATGCTTCACTTTCATCTGTATTCAACATGATGAATGTGCCAATATCCATGTAAAATGTATTTTTTTCTGAAATTATTATGTTACATGTAGATAGTTATTATCATTTTATTTAACTTTCTCCTTTCTTTCTAAAAAAAGAACTAGGAATCATTTTAATCAGCAATACGAATTAGCAATATTCATGTGACTTTAAGAAAAAAAAATATATAATGGTAGAACTTCGGTTTGATTTAGCATCGTGCTCGGCTTAAATCCTAAATTGAGAAAAAAAATCCTTAACAAACCAATAAAATATTTCTTATTAATTTTTGCAATTAAAATAATCAAATTAACTTTTGAAAATTAGGGATGACTCAATTAGGCTCAATCAAGAAAAAAATTTTGATCTGTTACATGCCTTAAGAAAAACAACGTGAAAATAACCTTTAATTTGAGACATCTCATCCAATATTAAAATTTAGGCACGCCTCATTATTAGAAAAACATACTTTACTAAGATTTCACATTCAAATTATAATTAAACCAGAACTCAAAAATTTGAATTACCTTACAAAAAAACATAAATTTATTAAAAATCCTTATTTAACGTTATTTTAAACAAACAGCAAGGCAAAAATTACAATGCACATTTTTACATATTTTTTCTTTCAAATTTTATAACTATGTTTTTATTAGATCGCTTCCATGTTTGTGAGGTGAAAATATTGCAATCAATACTTCGACCATTTCTTGATTTGCTAGAGTAGGGGAGAGTGGTGTCAATTGTAACAGGGTACGATTGTAACAGAGCAAAAATTTCGAGTGTCGGGTTCTAGATTTGGTTCCTTGGTGGCACACAAGGTGTATTTAATAAATCTACATGTACACCCCTGATGGCAACCACTTTTATGTACTTTTGAAAGAGTTACATCACAAAAGATATTTTCACGCCACGCAAGTACTTTTTTTGGTATTAGAATATTATATTGTAACAAAGTAATTTTGTTTAAACAAATAAAAATTAGTAACCGAATATGTAAGTGGACACCTTAATTAACATTTCAATAAAAAAAAAATTAGTTTTGCTAATTAACTAGCATTGTTTTTAACAAATGAAGCTGAAATGGCGTCTTGGGGACAATTGTAACAATAAGTAAAGGGACGATTGTAACAGCTGAAAATAAATAATCTTATGTTTACAAACCATTACTTAACTCTTTAAGAACCACCAATAGTTTCCTATATCATTTATATTATGTTGCATGTGCATTATTTTATTTGTCACCTTTCACAGCATAAATTAAAATTTTTAACCCCTTAAAGTTAAAAGTTTAACCCTTTAGGTCTCTGCTCATTATTATTTTTACTCCTAAAATATCACTACTATTTTGATCAATAAAAAAATATATCACAACTATGATAATATGTATAATTAACTATGTTTTAGTTGAATTTATGAACTGTTACAATTGACCCCGTAAGTGGGGACAATTGTAACAAGTGCACGACTGTCAAAAATTGTTAATAACTAATATAATAACATTTAAAATAAGGTATTTATTTTTTTTTCTAGTAGAGGATAGTCTACTTTACTCGTCTGTCAATTAATACTAATAATATATTGGATTTTTTGTTAGTTAAAAATAGTTAAGTAAAAAATTTTACAATTGACCCCACTCTCCCCTACTTAATCTCGTTTGAGGCTCCGGGATTTATTACGATGTAAGTTTTCACTTTTACATGCTTTTTCAAAGATCTTTCGTCAAGGAAGCCGCACTTAAAACGTCTCGCAACTTGAAGTAACGCTATAATTCTGAACTAAGTAAACTATCTGACCTTGTAGAATTACCTGTGCTTTAAAATGGACAAATATCTCAAATATTTTAAAAGTTACTAAACTTTTTTGAAAAATTGCCAATTTTGCGATATTTTTCCACCTAGATGAAAATTATCATAGTTATTGCCTTATTCTCAGTTTTCACAAGTTTTTATGAATCTAAATAATGCAGCATTGGAATAAATTTTTGATTTTTGAAAAATTAGACCACAAACGCTTTTTATTTTTACAAAACTGTAGCTTTTTTCCAAATTGAAGTTTTGCACCATTTTCAGAATAAGCATAGAGAACGCTGGCTTGACCTAACAGTCATAAGTAACTGTTGCAAACTCATATCAGTTATGAAAATAGCATATTGTTCGCTAAAAAAGTATAATTTCATATGACAAAGAGTATTGTGACAACAATTATTGCCTTATTCTCAGTTTTTACAACTTTTTCTGAATCTAAATAATGCAGTATTGGAATAAATTTTTGATTTTTAAAAAACTAGACCACAAACACTTTCTATTTTTACAAAACTGTAGCTTTTTTCCATATTGAAGTCTTCCGCTATTTTCAGAATAAGCATAGAGAGCGCTAGCTTGACCTGACAGTCATGAGTAACTGTTGCAAACTCATACCAGTTATGAAAATAGCATATTGTTCGCTAAAAAAGTATAATTTCATATGACAAGGAGTCATGTGACAACAATTATTGCATTATTCTCAGTTTTTACAACTTTTTCTGAATCTAAATAATGCAGTATTGGAATAAATTTTCGATTTTTAAAAAACTAGACCACAAACACTTTCTATTTTTACAAAACTGTAGCTTTTTTCCATATTGAAGTTTTGCATCATTTTCAGAATAAGTATAGAGAGCGCGTGTCTTGACCTAACACAGTCATGAGTAACTGTTGCAAACTCATAGCAGTTATGAAAATAGCATATTGTTCGCTGAAAAAGTATGATTTGATTTCATGTGACAACAGAGTCTTCAAAAAACATCTTTAAGCGGAATTGATCAACAAATAGAATTCTACATCAATCAAAATTGTTACCTCTTCTCGCTTAAGAGTGCTCAAATCTCATCTAAAGCTTTGATCTGAGCTGGATAACAATAAAAGCCTCAAATGTTTAATGATTATATCGACATTTTATCTCCAAATAATACTTGCCATCAATCGAAAGAATCACTTTGTGATATTAAGAATCTAGTAAAGGTTTCAACGGGTTTCGAGAAGGGACTAAAATTTTCGTAGAGATAGCTTATTAAGAAAGTGATTTGCCCAACTACAAAGATGTGACAAGATAAATATAAAGTCTTCAAAAAACATCTTTAAGCAGAATTGATCAACAAATAGAATTCGACATCAATCAAAATTGTTACCTCTTCTCGCTTAAGAGTGCTCAAATCTCATCTAAAGCTTTGATCTGAGCTGGATAACAATAAAAGCCTCAATTGTTTAATGATTATATCGACATTTTATTGCCAAATAGTATTTGCCATCAATCGAAAGAATCACTTTGTGATACTAAGAATCTAGTAAGGGTTTCAACGGGTTTCGAGAAGGGACTAAAATTTTCGTAGAGATAGCTTATTAAGAAAGTGATTTGCCCAATTATAAAGATGTGACAAGATGAGATAAAACATTTTTGGATAAAAAAGCGTTTTCGTCTTTAAAAAAGAACAATTATTATATTTTCCACAAAAATTATTATTAATTTTTGTTCAAATTAAATTAAATTATTCAGTATATGGATTAAAGAATATAA